GCACTCCAGCCTGGGCTACAGAGTAAGACCCTGTCCCAAAAAAAAAAAAAAAAAAGAAATTCCACAGTAAGAGAATGGAAAAATAGCAGAATTCCCAAGTGTAGACCTTTAATTATACAAAGAACTTTCACTAGGCAATCAATACTTCATCTACGCGGTATCACCTCCACATCCATTCATCTATATTATTAATTTACAATGGTTTAATATCTCTTATGGTTTCTGTTATGAAGAGATCTGATTCAGAAAAATAAATGTATGTGTGTATATTCATGTCTGGACTTATAACTTAAAAGACATGCATATAGTGGGTCTTTATATACTCAAGAAACAAAATTTAGAAGATACCTGTCCTGGTTTGGCATTTTCACACACAGCTGTCTCATATGGCACAGATATTTCTGGAGGAAATTCATTGACGTCTAAGACATTAATCAGTATATTGACTTTGCTGGTTAATAAAGGGTTACCTGTTAAAAGCATATAAAGATAAAAGATGATTACAAAATCCAGTCAATTATTGCTTCTACAATAAATAGCATTTTAATTTTTAAAAATCAGCTTATATATAGAATAAGAAAAAAATCCCTCTTCTTCTAGAAAATTGAGGGTTCCAATTACAGATGACAAAATGGGTTCTTTTATCATTTTGTATCTTCTTTATCAAATGAATCCTTTTTATCATCTGCAGTTGGAACCATCAGAATTCAATACCAACATAAGGCCAGCTATTTAATTGATATTTTAGCATAAGTGTAGCTCTTTCTAAAAGAAGGACTTAGCCACTGTTCCAGGGCTAGCTCACAGAACCAATGTTTACCAACAGTGATATTTTTCCCCAGATAAAAAATCGTCTATGTTGTACCCTTATAATGAAAATGTTATCAGTTGAATAATCTACATATTTAAATGACTCACTCAAAATGATTTCTCCTGGAAGATTCCTCCTGAAAAGAAGAATTGTAACAAAAAAGGGAGAGAAGACTCTTCATAAATGAAAAGTGTTAAAGTAAACTTAAGGAAGTAGAAATAAGGGACGGATTATGGAAAGCTAGTGGATATCCTTAAATTACTTGCTGGTGATAAAAAGGGAGTAATAAACTTTTTTGCAGTAACTTACTTCTTCCTGCTTCCTGACAGTATCAGAAAGGCTGTCAGTTTGACAAGATGTCTCTGCCAAAATCCTATCACCGGTTTTGTTCCCAGCTTATGGATTATTATCTCTGTCATTTGCTGAATAAAACTAGAAATAATTACATAAACCAATAAAGCATAAAATCATAAAATAATGCACCTGTGGTGAACTTGTACAATATATAATTTTACCTTATGAAATGTTACAGATGGCTAAACTGTTACACATTGTTGAAGGACCTCTTATAAAGAGACAGAAAGCAAGATGAATGGGAAGCTTAGAGGCAAACCCAGGATTACAAAAATTCAAAGACCATGCTTATTCCATCATAACTTCTCTATTGATTGCTTTATGAGTTAGACTTCTGCAGTACCTCCAAAAACTTGTAATATTCTTTTACATGTCTATTTAGAATAACTTCAAAGAATGCATAAAAAATCATTCAACATGACTGATTTTGAAAGGTATACAATGTCTTGGTTGGTTAAAATTCACTTAAAAAGTATATTACAACCATTTGACACAACAACTTTAACAGCATTCTCCTATTCACATGTGACAGTGACATTCAGTATTTGTACCAATACCCACACAGGTAACATAAATTGAGTATAAATGGTATGTTTTTGTAATACCAGGTGTGTTTATAAAAGGTATGTTAATAATCTTGGAGAATTATTCAGAAAATACATATTATTTAAACATTTATATTGGTCACAAGCCACTATCTTACTTGGTGGAAACTGGCCTGGTTTTCACAAGTTATTTATCCTTTCTTCAATTCAGTTTCCTTGCATGAAACATAGGCTCTGCTTCACAGGCTCTGCTTCATAGTGCTGTTGCACTACATGAGGTGGTATTTTGCAACATGTTTGATAAATTTCGGTAAATATCGTTACTCTTATTACCATTTATATTTTGTGGAGAAGCTCAAGGTCTGTTTCTGTTTTTGCTATTTGTTTTTACATAGTATAAAATATAAAATACCAGTCGACAGCTTGGTTAAACTAGGTTTACTTTTATAAAGAAACTGGAAATTATAAACAACCACAATGCCTAATGCCTAATATTTTAGCATGCCTGCAACATACAAATATTCTAAAGCACATTACAAAGATAAACTCATTTAGATGTTACAGTAACTATAATTTAGGCATTATTTTATCTCCATTGTGTATGTGAAACTCTGAATAGACGGGGATATAACTTTTCGAATATTATAAGTTGAAACTGATAAGGCTAGTTTTTGATTCCAGCTGTTCTGATTCCACAGCTCTGCTATTAAACTCTATTATATATTGAGCTTTAGAAGAAATGAAAAAAAAAAAAAACACTTTGGCAATTATATAGTTACTTACAAAAAGATAACTAATTCATTTCATAAAGTTTAGTAAATGAATGTGAATAACTTAAACTACTCAATGTCTGGGCAATGTAAAACTCAGTCTCTACTTTCTATTTTACATGGCACATAACGTATGAATTCCTGCAACTGCATGAAAAGGAGCATGTCTTTTTTACTTCTTTTCAGTATTAGGATTTTTTTCATTAAGTTGGTGAAAGAATGGGATATCTTCCACAGGAGACAGGAGTTCCATTAGAGATTTATTTTATAATATAAGAAAACGTTATTAAAATGAATTTAGACCTGGATTATCCATCAGAAATTAATTCTCTTCTGTTAGTTGTTAATTATTTTCTATCCTGCAAAATAGATCCTAATATCTGTTATGAGTAAATTGTCCCCAAATTATTCTCAATATTGTCATTGTTTTATTAAAAAAAAATTAGTGTTTCCCCCAAAGGTACTTTTGGCATTTTAGCTAAGTCAGTGTTTTGTGGTGTGAAACCTCCCTGTAAACTAGATACCCTACAGGATATCGAAATTTCCTGAAGACTAAATGTCACAAGGCAGCATTGTGGCAATACAAAATAAATGTCCAGATAAAGAGAGAAAAAATAACCAGAAACATGTTCACATTGTTGAAAATGAGTAACAAGTTTATCTGTTTAGTAATATTACTCTCTCCTATCATATATTTTCAAAACGTTCCATAATCAAATGTTAATAATGTCACCTAATATTGTTAAGCAATAACATCTCAGTTTGAGAACTACTGTTCTCAAAAATAAATTGAAATTTTCAAGAGAATGAATAATGTATAGGAGTAATACAGCATTCTTTAATTTATATAAATAGATATTATACTAAATTATTTTGAAAGGTAAGGACCTATTTTCTTACTGACTCATCTAATCAATATTTGTGGCAACAATGATGAAATTCATTTAACCTCAATTCAGCATGAGTATTATTTTACCATTATTTGAAAATAACACGATGTGGAAATTTGTTACTGTTGAGTAGTTATAAAGCAAATTTAATTACGGACCTAGTAAACATTAAATAATCATAGTCTTACACAATTAACTGTTGAGTTCCTAATTGTCAAACCATTTAAATGTCAATTATTATTGTTCCACATTGCCTAAATTTAATAGCTAGTTACTTACTAATTTGAGGCTCGTATAAGATAACAAAGAAACAGTTCTGTGTTTGTCCCTTATATCTTCACAATGCTTTGATAGATCTTCCTCTCCCTATCTTTCAATAACATGAGTCAGATCCCATTGCATATAGAGTCAATTTGATTTAGAACCTATTTTATTATTAAAATTTTAACTTACAGCTTAAACTAAGAGAAAAAAAAGCAAAAATAAATTACCAAAATCTGAAGTGCATTCATTACTTCTCATTATAAATAAAATACAAAATGATAAAGGAATATTTTAAATTGTTTATGTGAGAACATAGTTAACATAGGTGAAATTGGCAAATCCCTATAACATACAAATTAGCAAAACTGACTGAAGAATAAATAGAAAATCTTAACATACTTAAAATAGTGAAGAAATGAACTTGAAAAATCTCCCCACCAGGTAAAGCCCAAGCCCAGGTGGCTTTCACTGGGGAATTCTATCAAATATTTAAGTAACAAATAATAGCATTTTCTTACAGTCTCTTTCAGAAGTAGAGGAAGAAGCACTTACCACCTAATCCTATGTGCCTTGATATCAAAGACCAAAAAAAAAAAACAAACCTCACAAAAGCCAAAATCACTATTGCGTCTTATAAACACAAGTACAAACACTCCTTAAGAAAATATTAGCAAATTAATTCAAGCAGCAAGTTATACAGATGATACCTTAGGACAAATGGATGTTAATCCTAGGGACACAAGGTTGATTTAACATCCAAGAACAACCTCCATATTAACACAAGAAAGAACAAAATTTTACAAGGCTATCTCAGTAGACTTGGAATTTGCATTTGACAAAAAACCTAGTCCATTCATGATAAAAACTCTCAAGAAACAATAAATAAAAGGCAGCTTGCTCAACCTGATGAAGTATGACTATGAGAAACTAATATCATGGTGACACACTTTTTTTCTAACACTGTGCATGGAATAAGAATATGTGCTCTTGAAATGTATATATCCAACATTGTCCTTGAGGGTTTTATGCATTGAAATCAGACCCAAATATATATTTTTAAATGGTATCCAGATAGAAAGAAAGAAAGAAAATGATTACTGCTTAAAGACAATATGAGCCTGTAGATGAAAATCCTAAGGAATCTGCAAATAAACTTACAGATATAATAAAGGAATACATCAAGTTCATTGGATAGGAGATAAATGTAAAGTGATAATTGTACATTTAATACACTAGCAAAGTCCAAATTTGTCAGTATATTAAGTACCCTTTGAAGGATACTTAATATACTCAAAGGAAGGGAGGATAGACCTCACTTCTTCATCAAAGAAATGTCAGCTTCATTGTCAGAAGATTTTTAGGTATGGCCCAATTAGAATCTGTAGTCAGAAATCTCCTCTGGAAATGGTTCACTAGGAACTACCATTGCAACCTTTGATAAAGGCTGAAAAACCTGAATTCTAAATCCAAAAGAGAATTTAGTATTTATATGAATTTATAGTTCTCATGCTATTCTTCTGAGTGCTACGTTGTTTCACAAGGTGTAAAGAGAAGCTGTTAGCATTAACCACCATTTTCTTCATATAATCTAAGGAGATTCCACATAAGATTTTATTTGACAACGTGTCCTGCTGATTTACAAAGTTTGAAAACTATAAATATATAAATAGCTATTTATAGATGAAAAAACATTGATATAATCTTTCCTATGATTTCTGTTGGAGTCAAGACAGGAATTCAAATCTCACAGTTTCTCAAGGCCCTATAATAGCTATTAACTAACTCAGAGAGCAAGAAGATGGAATGCCTGATATACACCAATGTATGTGATGATCA